ATATTAACTGAAAGACTGCCAAATTTTGTGAAGATATTCCCAATATATAGAGAGACTTATAAGTATTAAATTTATATCAACTTTAAAGTAGTACAAAAGGTCACATGATTCGGTCAAATTAACTGACCCCGTGTTGCGAGAGTTAAACAAATGAAATAAACTTGGTTTGTCAGCTATCTGTATGAAGTAAAAATCATTACCACAAGAAATTATAGTGTCAACTTTAACCATAAATATACTTTATTGTCCCGATTTGTCATACTGTGTGTGAGATGCACATACACTTATTATTGTGTGCTTGCTAAATGCTAAGATAATAACACTTTTTAATGTTTTGCCTAAGGTAAATTCCCTTAGTTCACTCTCACCTGTCCAACATCGAGATCTACAAAAACAGGAGTTTTTCCTAAGCGTACAGCATAATTCAATAGCAGCCGACAAAGAGTACTTTTTCCTACATCAATTGGCCCTACTAACATAACCTGAGAAAAAAATAATTATACAATAAATGTGAAGTTTGATTTTCTTATTAAGGTGTTAATTTTTTATTAAAAAGAAATCACTTGCTTCCTTTACATATAAGATGCTTAAAACAAATGCTTTATCACTGATTTGATAATCTAAATAAATAGTTTTAACAATAAAGATAAAAAGACTTAAAAACATACTACATGTACTACAACAATTGCTCACACCATTTTTCCAAGTTGTTACCCAATCACCTTAAAAAATCCAAAGAGAAAATCATTCCATCAATCAGCACCTTCCACTTATAACTGCATGTATAGTAATATAAAAGATGTTGAAATTTTTTTTTTCACTCATGAAGAGAGGATCAAAGGAAAATATGTACCTATAAAAGGTACATGCATGCTCTTGTCCAAATTTCTTTTTAATTTTACAAAGGGTGAATTTACTATATTACTATATCTCTAGTTTAAAAAACTATTGGAATAACTACACTTAAAAGATGTGTAAGCTTACAAAAGAAAGAAGGAAAACAAATCGATACAAAAGTTGGAGAAGAAACTTAATCATAAGAAGAGCCTATGATGTGTAATTCAAACCAGAGGTTTGTATGGACATAAAATAGGCAGTATTTTTTTTCTGGCACTAGGGTTTTAGTTTCAAGTGCAGCCCCAAGTGTATGGAACAGACAAATCCATGAAGTTCCACCTCAGCCCAATTTGATAGATACTCTGAAAAAGCATACATTCAAGAAAATATTCATCACTGAAGGGTGTACTGTCACTTTTTTCTGCTCAAGAGCAGAGTTTTGAAAATTATAAGATATAGGCTTTGTGTTTTTGTTTGCTATTTTTTATAATTACCATTAATTCTATTATTTTATTTCTCTGTTATATTGTTTACTTACGTTGTTTCAAACAACCTTTCACAGTATAATCTGGCAATTGTGACCTTTTTTTACTCTACCAAATATTATGTCAATGGCCTCAACTGTCGCTTTTTCTTCTCAATACTCAATAACAAATTCTTGTTGATTTAAATGCTAGTCTAGCATTGTTGTGCAAAAAATTCATGTTTTTTAAGTACACAATAACGATATAGTTTACTTTGGTGCTTTACAAATTTCACACTATATACAGTGCTTCCATCCCAACATTTTAAACACCCAGTTTTCCTTTGATGCAGAAAACTGAATGTACGGAAGTAACCAGGACGTTCATACTTTAATTCCATATGCTCATAGGCCTAAAGGATGGAAAAAAAGAAATTTGTTTCTTGTTTCTAACCAATCCTATTTAATTGCTATAGTCCTAAAAAACGTTTAAGTGTGTTTTCTTTACAATTTTGATCTTAAGTATTTAAATTGCCTTTAGAATCATTATAGTTCACTTGTACTGATCAAAGCGTAAACCACAACTTTTGCTAGTCAATCTATACCACCATCGCAGCTAGCAGATGTTGTCATAATTCCCCAATGAGCTCCCTTTGGAGAAAGCAACTGAAGGGGAAAGCCCATGTAAGATGACACTCTATAGTGGAGGCTTACAAGAAGAGTAACATTCTCTGAAGACTGTATCCATCTCTTGCAGAAAACGCTTTTCATCTGGATGGAAGAATGAAAGAAAGATGGCAAAATGAGCCAATTTATCACAGGAATGGGCAGAAAAGAAATAACCAACTAAGCACTTGAACACAACAGGTTTGTTGAACATGAGGTGTAGTGTAGCTAGTGCTACGATCAAACCATACAGGTTAGTATGTGTTCTGTTGTACAATTTACTCACCTTACATACAGGAATGAGGACCAAGTCCCTTCCTGTTGCAGGAGGAGAAAACTTTGCCTTTCCAGTTGGCCAACCACTGGGAAGTTTGCATATTATAAAACATGGGATGATGTACATGGGCACCCCTGCCCTACTTCCCACTGCATTGTACTTGGACTCTTTCAAATGGGATTGCACAACCAGTTTCCAAACAATCACTCCAGTGGCTAAGAGCTGGGAATGGCAAAGGTCTCCCATGCTCTACTCGAGGACCTGGGTGGAAAAAATTCATGTTAGGGGGACACTGGAAATGTGTATAGACTTGATTGGACCTAACCATTGCAAAGGTATTTTACTGGAGGAAGTGCAATGGTTTACCACAAAACCTAATTTGAAAAGCCAGCATAAATGAGTCACAGAAGTGGCCACACTTCACTGGTGCTGACTTTAGCCACGATAGTTCAAGGAAGATACTGTCTGGAATGGGCAATGAAATATGTAGTACTTTAGTGGTTTTGCAGAAAATCCCACTTCAACAATGGGCATTCTTGGAGCTTGAGAAGATGGGTTTAACACTTTCCATTACTCCTTGACTTAATGCAGGTTCAGGGAAATAAGCATACCCTGTGAGGCAACACCTGTCACTGGGTGGGTTCTGAGAAGCAAATGGAAGAACAGTACAAACAGGTAAAGACATAAAAGAGGCACTTATCCATTAAAGACAGTGAGTAGACTGGAGAACGGCGACTGGAGGGAGGTGCTATCCTATGGGAGATGAAACCCATTGATAGTGAAGATAAAGGAAGATGATGGTGTAGTCCACATTTCAGCCTGGAAGATCTAATCCAAGGGTTGTCAAAATTGCAAGGCCAGAGAGTGAGTCAAGTGAATGATGTGGCATGATACAGCCTGCGAGCATCTCCATCTAGGAAGGAACAGATGATCTGAATGAGCTGATTAATCCATCTGGTTGGCACAGAAAAGGAGATATCCCTGAAAAGAGGTGTCCCATAGCATAAATAGATAATTGTGGGAACCCCTAAATGAAGCCATGCATGTCAAGTAATGCCTGACTACCCAAACTGGACACAAAAGGTAATCAGCATCAATGCAATCGTAGAGGGCCAAGGATCATGGATTACATATGGGAGAAAAGGCATGACCTCCCTCTCAAGCAGTCAAAGCCTTAGACTAAATTAACAGTCTAGAAAGAAAATCAAGGGATATCTATAAAACAAAGTATGAGAGGCATCCAATACATAAAGATCTGTGGCAACCACAAACAAAACTGAGAAGAAAATAGGTTTTAAGATAGAAAGATGGTATAAGGTGCAAGGAGCCAAAGGTTCAATGGGCAAGGACATGTATAACCACATCAATGGTCCAGTTGGACAAAAGAACAAGATGAGAAAGGTGCTGAATTAGGAAGGACAAGAACAAAGTGAAAAGAACAAGAAAGGAAAAGACAGAACTACAAAGAAAAAGGTGAGAACAATGGTAGTAATTGACAATCTTTGGTCAAACAACCAGGCAAAGAATGACAAAATGCAGCTGGTATAGAGAGCTGAAGATAAACTAATGTCAAAAAATATGCCACTTTCATTGATAAGCAGAGAGTAGAAAGGCAACATAAATGGGATAAAATAAAAGCTATGTGGTTAGAGAAACCTGAACAGTGAACAAGGGACCAGACAAATCCCAGACATGAAGACAAAGAGATGACCTTCCCAGATTAAAGATATATGTATGAGGTTGTAGCGGAGCATCCAAGGTGGAGGCAGAGGAACAGGTGCCTTGGGTGTCAGTCAGTGAAGAAAAGGAAACCAAGACTGAGTCAGCCATAATACTATTAATAGGACTCAACAAGGAGTGTCACAAGTCAATGCCAAGAGATGTAGGAAAAGCCAAAGAGGAAGGTATACACATCAAACAAGATGAGAACAGTCCTGGCAGAGGGCATCTAGAGCCAGAACAGCAGGGTGAAGTTTGGGGACCAGAAGAGAAGGAGCTTGGTATTGAGAGGAGAGGTAAAGGCATTGATTATTACTTGATTTAATTTGAATTTCACCTAAAGCTATATGAGGGCTATCTGCACTAGCCATCCCTAATTTAGCAGTGGAAGACTAGAAGAAAGGCAGCTAGTCATCATCACCCATCGCTAACTCTTGGGCTACTCTTTTACCAACAAATAGTGGGAATGACCACCACATTATATTACCCCCACAGCTGAAAGGGGAGAATTTTTGGTGGGATTGGAATTCGAGCCCATAACCCTAAGATTGCAAGTCAAGCACCCTAACCACCTGGTCATGCTGGGCCCAGTCCAACTGGGAACAAATCCAGTAAAATATTTGAGAATGAAGTGATCACTCCTTATGAAGAGTCCTGTCTGGTCAAGGGAGGCATTCTGCTACTAAGTTCAAAACCATCAGTACATGACAGTTTGTCAGATAAACCAGATGTGAGTGGACCAAAAACAGATAGTTCAAGGTGCAGAGGCAAAATTCCCTATAGTGAGACCCACCCTAATGACTAGAATGGGAAATACCATGGAATTGTCAGAGTGGATTATAACCAAGTGATTGACAAGATGAGATGTGAAATAGAAACACACTCAATGAGTGGCCAAGAGTTCTATAACATTGATGTGGAATGTATATTCCATGAGAGACCAATACCCCAAAGCTGTGGAGTCATCCAGAAATGCATTCCAGTTGTTAGATCTGTCACTGAAGAAATGAAAATCCAGACAGAAGGTGCAGCAGTGAAATTCTGACCATAGTGTTAGCATGATCCAGCCACCAAGACAGATCCTTGAGAAGAGAAGGCAGCAGTGTCACAACAAGGCACAAAGGAACACAAGAAATTTTTCCACTGGTCATTCAAAGTCTATTGAAGAAGCCTCATGTGAGCCTGACCTAGAGGGACAAGATATTCTAGAGATGTATTAGTCCACAAAAGAGATAGAAGCTCTCACATAGGAAGAATAGGTGAAGCAAGAGTTGAGACGAATAGGAGAAGGCTAAGCCTGATTAAGTCAAGAGTTAAAAAAAAAAGACTTCAAAGTGGACCAAGTGTTGAGTTGGAGTGAACAATGACTTGACCAGCTAACCCTCACAAACTGCCTCTTGGAGGAAAAGTGATGGGACTGAGAAGGAAGGCTCCTGAGAAGAAATGAGGAGGAATCAGTTGTCCATGTAGAGATGAAAACAAAGTCCAAGACTATGATCATGGGGAGCAAATGCTCTCATGACTCAATTGAAGATATAAAGAGTTGAAACAATGACAAAGGGGGGGAGCTCAAAACTGGTACACCTGATCCCAGTGAATAAAATGAAGGAAATGACAAGAGGATATGACAATCAGAATATGTAGGAAAGAATCTGGGGCACTGACCTTGATCATCCATAGTTTGAAAGAAACAAAGCAACAGAGAGAAAGAAACCCCTCTACCTTGAACTGTGGAACCATCAATCACAAGCCAGGGGTTGAGAAGAAAAAGCTCAATGACAGGAGGATGGTCCCTGGTGTTTATGGGGGCAACAAAAAGGTGAGAATAAAACCATGGAGAGGGACAAAGGACCCTTACGATGGCTCTCGTGTCCAAAAGATTTGATACAGAGACCGTGAGATGCAGAAGATGTTGAGGTTTAAAAGGCAAAAAGGAAAAGAGGACAGATGAGAAATAAAAGAGAAATGCTGTGTTTAAAAACCTCAATGACTCACTAGTCAGCCATAAAAGGGGTCTAAAAGTCTGCAAACAGGAACAGATGGGACCTGAGCTGACTCGGTACAAAGAGAGGGAGTCACCTATGGGATATGCAATAGACAACCCGATGCATACAGAGAAGTGGCAGAAAGACAAGGAACAGGAAAAGAGAAAACCATGGAGTCAAGGAATGGAAGTGGACTCACAATGTTGTGAGAAGAGGAACCAAGAAGGAAAGGGAAGACTAGCATCAGACAGCCTCAGCATAATTTTCCAAGGAACCCTGAAGAATTCAGGGCAAAGAAGAGGAGCCAGATGGAGGTCACAGACATAATAATCGGGAAGACAAATGGTAGAGAGGAAAGTGTTACATTACAGGAGATACCAACAACAGAGGAACCAAGCAAGCAGAGACAAGGTAGAAAATGAAACCCTGGCCAAGATGTTGAAAAGGACCAACCCGGATCTCCAGAGAAACTACAGGGATGATAGTGTTGGGCTTGAGATAGGAGATGAAGAGAGGACAGGTAACAAAGAAGATGGGTAAGAAAAAAGGCAAATATGGGAAAATTGAGTGCTAGTGTGTGTCACTGGAGAGAGGAAGTCAGTCCCCCAAACATGTAAAAGGGACACCAAGGATTGGGAATCCAAGAATGGAAAAGGGAAATGGCTATAAGTCATGGCAAAGGAATCCTGAAATTGAGAAGGATGAAGCATTTTAGAGTGGGAAAAAAGCCGATCAAGGAATATGTAAGCATGGACAAGTATATTTGTAGAAGTAGGAAAAACCAAATGATCCCCAGCATGAGAGTTGTAGTAAAGAACATGAAGAATCAAAAGATAAAGGATAAAGGGAGGGTAAAGAATAAACCGAGGGAATCATATCCACAAAGATATTTGGAGGAACATTCTTTTCAATTGGTGAAGGCAAAAATCCCACAACACAATGGTCTAAGGCAGTTTCATCTTCCACAGTCAACAAGCCTCCAAAGACAAAGTAAGGATAGTGTTAGCAACATTGCCAGAACCTTAGGTGGAGGTATGTTTCCCATCAGTTGAGACAGTCATTGTAGCAATTCTCCATATCAAATTTGTTTGTTTTTTTCCAAATAATTTAATAGCAATGCAGCTTTAAAGTTAAAACAAACTAAACGGAAACCAAAAATGTTAAAATTGTGCAAAGGTAGTGCAAGTCTCACAAAATTTATTAAATTTAAACTTAAATAAACACATCCATTAAAGATAGTGCAGAGGATAAGAATGAAGTTAACTTTGAGTGCAAATGTTTATCAGGATCTAAAATACATGGAGGATGTGTTGTCATCCTATTAATGGAGGACTATTGTAGCATGATTATTACATCATGCACTAGTGTAGTTCACATTATAACATGGGTCATAGGTAAGAGATACCTCAATGCTAATGGCATGAGCAAAATCTCAAAGGCAGACATGTGAGGAATAGCTACTATGTGCAGAGAGGTAAGTATATTGTTTTGGAATATTCAGAACTGGTTGGCAACATTCAGTTCTCTCCAGGAAGAAATGAGATTCTACCAGAACTATGAACGTGAAAGTGTCCCAGCTTCAACGTTTTACCAGATCAACTGTGTTGTAAGTAATGAAACTATTTCTCTCTTAATCAATTAATGTGAATTTGGATAGATTCTAAAGAAACATATAAAAGTTAAGAAAATAAACTATGTTATGTGTGAGTTATAATTATCAGTGTTGTTAACCTAACAGTGTTCTTTTATGAAGAGTTAGCAAATGATTTACTAAAGTGTATTTTATGTTAAGAAACTTGAATAAACTTGATGTATTGTGTTGAATATCAGGCTCAGGATCAGTTACTTTAGTCTAACCACAAATCTCCTCGAGTTAGTGACTTATGAGCTACACTCACCACTGCAATCCTCAAATAAATAAATTTGGTGTAATCGACAGTATAGTTGAAACTCCAACAACTAGCCCTAAGGGTGCTGTCCATTACATTAGTTTTTATGTGTTGTAACCCAGCCAATCATATAAGATTTGATAATGAGTAAAAGACTGTTTGTGATGCACAGGAAAAACATTATATGCAGTTGAAACCTAGAATATATTAAACACTTGTCTTATTGGATACCTATGAAATGAGAGAAAAAGTGGAAGAAAGAACAGACAGAAGAGAAAAGAAGCATTTGAAAGAAAATGGTGAGTTGCTAACCCCAAACAACACATATCCTGAAATTAAGGGAAAACAGCAGAAAGAGGTGGTCACACTGCCTTAATCACAAGAAAAATGGTAAGAGCATTAAAGTGTGTAGTTGCAAAAAACATTTAGTTCAGTGGAATATATTTAACATTTCAAATTAAAAGAGTGAATCATCAGTCCTCACATCACTTAAATTAAAGAATCATAGGTATAAATGAAAGTTTTTATAGTTGGATAATGAGTAACAACATAAGATGCAACAAGAAAGTGTGTGGAGAAAATATACTTTATGACTGATAATCTGGTTACATGTCTATCTACAGGTACTAATAGCACATTTAAATACTGTCTTTAAAATTATATAAAAGGAAGTATTATGAACAGTTTCATATATTGAAGAAATCATTTACATATAATTTTCTTTCAGGTACCTGATCCAGTGAAATACATTACAGTAATTAGTAAACTCTTACTGTAGGTCCTTTAGAATCTTTAAATTCAGCCTCCTGCCGCATTTGTTCTAATGCTGCGTGCACATTGATGTAGAACACCATAGGAGTTTCCTTGGCAACATACACAACTTCTGGTCTGCCAGTAAGGTACTATGTTCAGGATCATATAATGCACATGTATAAAAAAAATACTACTCATACTTATAAGTTTTCAGAGAATAAAAATAAGTTCCTGATAGTCTTAAATACTAAGTTTATTTATAGCAGCATTGTCAATCCCTCAAGATTAATCAAAGTAACCTTAAGAAAATATAAACATTTTAACATCTCTGGTAAAGCTGAATGCTGAAGTGGAAGAAAAATCTGAAGGGTACTTTAAAACAGAAAATTGTGCAATAAATGTTTTTTATATACAGGTACTATTTAAGTTGAAAGTATAATGTTTGATATCTTAAGCTTGATTTACATTTACAAGGAATGATAATAAGAGCGAAAGGGTCTATATTAGTGTGCAGTGTAATCTTAAAAAGTTGAAGCACAGTTCCAAACTTCCTAATATTTCAGAAACAGTAATTTCTATATTTACAAGAAAAAAAATACAAATTGAAATTCTGGTTCTGGTTGGCTAGGAGGAACATGATATTTTCACTTCACAAGGCTCCTGTAGTGCACCACCATCCTGGCTGTGGGTGCAGCATCTCAATTAAAACAATTTAGGCAAAGTTTTTGGGAATTAACCCCAAGATATGATACAAATCATATTGGCAGCAAAACACAGAACAAGATATGTCAACTTCAGTTTGAATCTGCAAGGTCCACTGAAGGAGGTGCATATGTGCTCCAAGAAAGCCAGAGTTCCCAGAGGTAAAAGAACCTCTTAGTCAGGTTGAGAATGAGAATCATAAGATCCTGGTGACAAGATATGACATATCTTGCAGACGAGAGGAAAAGGCTGAACTTCAGCTGAGATGAAAGATGAAGAAAACACCCAGAAGTACCAAACACTGAGTGGCTGTACATACAGACATAGATCTCATAACAAGCCACCCCAAACAAGTAGTCTCCTGTAAATGAAGAGAGGTGTGAGAAGAGGATACCATCTGAGAATGGGCAAATAGAAATCAATCATCCAAGATACATCTGTGTGTGTGTGTGCTGATGATGTGACAGTTAGAACGTTTCCTATAGCAAGAATAAAAGTGGACACTCCATACTACGTGGGAGACCTTGAGGTCATCTGTAAGAAGGCACCCATCTACAACTTGGTGATTGACAATATACCTGGCAGGAGGAACCAGACAGAAAGGAGACTGCTGCAGCATCTGCAGTCACTACAAGAGCTCAAGAAAAGAAAAGCAAGCAAGACATCAAGCCCCAGCAAGTCTCAAAAAATGACATCCTGAATGTAGGTCTATGGGATCTGAAGGAAATGCAGAAGAAAAACCCTTCATTACAGAAACTTTGGGATAGTGAACTTCGAAATGGAAGAACACCTAATGGCTGCAGCTAATGAAGCCATCAAGAGGATTGTAAATGTTGATGTAGACTGTATGAGTAGACTTTGTGCATGAATTAAAAACAGTTATTGTATATAGTAAAACAAGATTGTAAATATTTTTCTTGAAGAGGAATTATTGTTACATATACATGACTGTTTCATTTTAAGCGTAATGTTAGCATTATGATTTAGGTAATTTATATAGCATTAGCATTAAAGTTAAGTGAAAGCAACCTAAGTTAAATAGCTAGGTAGATCTAGACTGTGTGACTGTGAGTTTAGCCATCAAGAGCACATAGTGGCGATTTATAAAGTGAAGTATCACATATTTTATTGTAACAACACAGAAGAGAAGAATAATTTGTCTTGTCAATTGTGTTCTAAAATAATTGAATCAGCCTATGTGGACTTTGATGAAAAGAGACAATTATTTAAAGCTGTGGATACAACTGTGGTGATTAACTATGTAACAAACATTTGAATACAGATTTGACTTGTTTTAATATATTATTTTAAAACAAGTGGACTGTGTGCTTTTTTTTTATTGTCAGAATTTATCGCCAACAAATCATATACACCTACTGTAAAGAATCCGGCCCACACATACATTAAAAACCCGAGAGAATTACCTCAAGGCTAATGGCATGTTAATCTCATAAGCATACATGTGAAGAAGATAGTACTTCTGTGTGAAGAGTTATCTCATAATTATCAAGTTCACTACGACATTTTCTTTTTCATATTTAACTCCTTTCTTACAGTGACCTTTTTCTGTGTGTGCATGTCACAAGATTTTACTTAGTTACACTTAAAATTTAAACTATTTTATGATCAATGTTTGTCAATGAAATCAGCATTAAAATTATAGTTCAAAGTTTTATATTGTCTAAGTTTTGAATCCTTTATTTCAAAAGAAACCTTAAAGAAACATTCTTAAATTTTGTTTTATTCTCATGTGATCCACAAATTCATAAAATGTTAAATTTATCTTTGTAATTTGAACAGTTCTTCACTCACGCTAACCTTCCACATATTGAATGAATCTAGGTTAAATGCTCTATTTACACAGTCTTCTTTCAAGTTCCATAGGGTACATTCATAGAAAGGGGAAATAAATTTCTCTAAACTCTTGACTGAAGCCACACCCATTTTCTACCATTGAGTTACGATTTCTCAGCCAATCATACTTATTTGAGCTAGATGTTTATAACCAATGGAAAGAGCATTATTTGAAGTATGTTCTCATAACTGTTATTTTAAAATTGGCATGAAGAATTATACAGAAAACTGCTGTAAAAACATATTACAATATTAGTTTTGTGCTTAAACATCATTTTAAAGTTTTCTAATACAGTAGTAGCTCAAATATGATATCCCTAGATTTGCTGTGAATACATGAAGTAGCCAAACCAAGTTTGAAGACTGAAACCATACTAAACATTAACCATTTTGTTCTAGGCTAAACTAGCACCAATCGATACTCATTTTAAATGTATTCTTATCAAAATATCTTGGGTATATTAATCAGATTCATATCTATAAATACTTACCATAACTTGAAATACTTTAAGCAAATGTCTTAAAAATGTTACTTTAAATTGAAGGTTTACATATTAGCTTCACAAGCACAATAAAAAGCTACAAAGTAAAGGATATTGTAATAGTACATCCTTGCCAGGTAAATATGGCTTTCATAACTGTAGGTCCAAATGTGTATTTCCTATGTCTCACCAGCTCTGTTCCAAAAACTTCTGCTGTACCAGAAGTTAACTGTAAAGAAATAATATACAAATAACTCTTTTATAATGTTATAATGAATATGCAACATATAATACTATAAACACTTATTTCTGGATATACAGATGTACAAGCATTACAACAATGAGAATAATGAATTTTAAGAGTTAATAGATACACACACATTATTTTTAGAGAAAGGGATTCAGATAATATTTAAACAGAGTGTCCATGTTGGCCCCAATGCAAACAGCCTGGGAAGATGACCCTCTCCCTAAAAAAAAAGGAAAAATACTATAAAAAACCTTCTACCATCTCATATTTCAGAATGTGCATAAAATAAAAGGCTGGACCAAAAAAAATGCTAGCTGGTACATCTAATTACAAATTTTATCTATACATCAAAGATTATATTAGGGATTTCTAAACAGACTTACTGCTAGTATCCCTAACAATACTGAAAAACAATGTGAAACTTAATTAACCAAAAAGAAAACAAAAACAAACAACTTTAATACAAAGGGTGGTTAAAAAATTAGTATTTATCCTGAAAATATTACACCTAAACAGACTGTGAGACAAACACAGGAATTAAATTACAGAATACATATTGCAAGCAAAAATTAAGTAGCTGCTGCAAACAACAGCTAAGTGGTACAGTGCTGATGGAAAGATAGTTGGTATTCTTGACATGTTTCACCATCTAATCCCAAGGAATTCAATAATCTTCATACACACTTTAACTATCTGTAGGAGACTGATTAGCATGCCTACATCTGGGAAGTAGGGCCATCTTACCCATTATGAAAATTCAAAGTGAACAACAGCAAACCATGGAGCCTGAAGAATAAGAAGCTGTTGGGAAATAATACAATGACAAAGCTCAACAAAAACTGCTAAAACAGCAGAGAGAGCTAACCTAACCAGTGAAGATCCAGCAGCAGCATGGAAAATCCAATCAAACTAAAAAAAAAAAGTTTGCTTTGGAATGTAAGTAAATTTTTACCACTTGAAAAATAAATTGCAAGTACAAATTATTACATTATTTCTTTAATATTAACATTCAGAAAATTTTCTGGCTGAGTTGCTATCTGTAAGAAATTGGTTACTGGGAATATTTTGGACATCTATAGTCCCCTAAAGTTCATCAATATCCTTACAAAAAAATACCATGTGCCCTAAGTCTCAAAATAACATGAATGATTCTACTTAAAAACAAGGAGGTTTAGAAGAAAGCTATTCTTAGGGATATTTCACAAAAGAATAATCTGATAAAACCCCACATACTTCCAGTACATGGGCAGAAAAAGAAGTTACTTGCACAAGCAAAAAATGGGTTGATAGGTGCAAGCTATAGTAATATATAAATGAAATAAGCTATGTACATTCTCAACCTAAACTGGACAGATGAGGTTCCATAACTCCTTCTTGGCATAAGAAGGTTGAGGATGAAAAAAAACTTTAATAAGAACATTGTGGCTAGGGAATGTGAACCATGTGGCATATACCCAACAACACCAACTGTAAGTAAACAGTGTCATACCTCAAACAACCAGAGTTACAAAGGGGAAGTGAGATTTCAGTCGTAACAGGACAAATGCCCCAAACCACTGTAGTAGCAAGAAGTACAACAAACCAAACCGGGCATTATGGGGCCATGGTGTTGCCTTGACTCAACCACAAGAACAAGGCAAAGCTGTAACCAGTATTATGGGCAAAATCATAACTCATTCAACTGAAAATGCAGGGCAGAGACATCCTGTATCCAGAGTTATGAGGAGGACATGGAACAATCGCCAACTGTAGGAACAGAGCTCGGACATCCTGTTGCAGGTATTATGAGGTAGATGATGTCTCCCAAACTCAACTGTAGAAGCAGGGAAAAAACCTTCTACAACCAAAATTAACAAGAAGAGAGACATCTACTGCACTTCACCATAGGAACAGGGCACTGTCATCCTGAACCCAGCATTACGAGGATCCCACAGAAGCTAGACCTACTCCAACCAATTAATTGATTATTCTGTTTATTTCTGTCCACCTGGGAAATGGTAAGAGGGAAATCAGCTTTGCCCTCTTCAAACTGAGTGGATAATTATGAGTATGCATTGTAAAATAAATTTCTAAACTTATTCAAGAGGAAGCCTCCATGGTCCAGCAACTGGGAAGTAATAAGGACTCCCATACTGCACTAGAAAAAAAAAAGGGTGAAAGTGCCATGGAAAGTCCAGGGGAAGATCACACTGGAGACAGTGCAAAGGGTGTTCACGATTCCCTATTTTGAAAAGCAGACCTACCTGGATGTATACAACCAAGGGGTCATCAAGGATGGGCAGAAATTTCCCTCTGCTTTGCTAAGGAATTCAATGAGTGATGGTCCATCACAGATAGAAGTTCATTGATATCTAGTACATATATATATACAACACTAGGAAAACGACCTATGATCTTATGGAAACACCCCATCTCTACAGTGAGCATTATATAGCAACTTTAAACTAGTGCGGTTTTGAGGCAAAGCATACCTGACCGGGCAACACCCACCACAGAATGGGATCTTTATAGTAGTTGTGAAGACTAGGGATGCTGAAAAGAAAACATAGATTAAAAGAAGTGATAAGGCCTACCCCAGTCAAAGGTGAATGGATGTGTGTAGAATTGCCATGGGAGAAAGACCATATCTGCCAGAAGAAGTTACAACCAGATTGTGCACATAATGAGCGACAAAGGTATTGGAAGTAGTGCACGTCCTAGCCTGAACGATCTCCTCCAAAGGCATAGTAACATGACAAAATTGATGCAAAGAGACACTGTGGATATGATGACCTTCCATGGATAAGCTTGAACACACCAGCCTTATGAGTTGATGAACCCAACCAGTGAGAGTAACAGGTAACATATCACAAGAACTGGAAGGGTTACAGGGAATAAAAAGTTGGAAACACAAACTCCAAAAGGAGGCAGTATGTACCACATAATGCCTTAAGAAGTGAACCAAACAAGGAAGTCTATCCGGATCAGAATCAGAGTACAAGTGGGAAATAGAAGGTAAGGAAATGGGTGAGAAAGTCAAACTACTTTCCCAGGCAACAAAGGTCTTAGAAAGGAAGGACCAGTAAGGATAGAGGATAGCACAAGAAAAATGGTAAAGGATGCAAGAAACATTAATCGCATAAATATCCAAATGATGATGCCCACAAAGAAGGAGGAAATAGGTCTTGAAGGAGAGATAGAACACGGAATATGTAGCCAGTGGTTCAAAGGGAGAACAAGAAAAAGCATAAAAAACATAATACGATTCCAATCCAGTACAACAAAGGGATGTCCAGGACGAGCAATATGGAAGTAAAGGAAAAGGAGGGAAATGACAGGGGAGGAGAAGATGTTACAGAATAAAAAAAAATGGAAGGTGCTCAATAGGGCTGCCCAATAACTGGACACCATCAAAACAGACAAGCCCTTGTCAAACAACCAGGTGAAGAATTGGGAAAGATGAGGAATGGAAGAATGGGAAGGACAGAAGCCACATCAAACAGACCAAAGGCAGAAGGTAGACCAATGCCTTTGGTAAATGGTCATGAAAGAAGGTCTTATGGTTCAGTAAAGGAAAGACATGACACGAGGAGTGTGATGGATTTATTATTATACATTTATTTTAATATTGATGTTTGTTAAAATAAAATTTATATTTACAAATGTACATAATTTATACTGTTAAATATGTATTGCAAAACTCCCACCTATTCTCTAAAGTTTGAGAAGATTCTCAAGTGTAAGAATCAACAATATATGTGTGTATGTAAACTCTAGTGTAGCGTGTTAGTATTGTTACTTAACCTGAAGTTTCGAGAAACTCTCTACATGCCTATGAATAAAACCAACGCAACGTACCAAAAAACAGTATCTATTATTAGATTGCTGTAGTCAGTGTGCTACAAACTTTGGAAGCTATAATTGTGATTGTTATAATGCTTATCAATAGGAAAACTTCAGATATTTGACCAGGAGCATTTACAAAGTTCGAACATTACAAATCGTTTAACTTCAGTGGATTCTCATCGAACATTAGTATTTTTACAAAAACATTATATAACTTCACGGTGTAAAACACGGTGTGTGTGGCTGGTGAATAACGAAGGACAAAGCTAGCTAGCACCCCATTAAGCGAATTGTACCTACATCAACTTGTAATTAACTCACTCATCATGAACCATCAATAAGATATCAAGGAAGTTCCAGACTTGAAGATAGCTTTTATACATGGAAACATCTGTTAGCTGAGTTCTTTCACAGATTTTAAAATATAACGTTGATAAATGGAAACATCGGCACATGTAGAAACGTAGATCTTGAAAGTCGAGTTGTTCAAAACTTGAAAATAGTGTTGATAACTGGATCGATGTTTCCATTTATCAACGTTATATTTTAAGATCTGTGCAAGAACATAGCTAACAGATGTTTCCGTATATAAAAGCTAGCTTCAAGTTTTGTACAACAAAAAACCTTTTCAAGTTCTAGACTACAAAGAAGAATTTATATTGCTTGTAAGTTTGTAAAAGTTTTGTTTATACATCAGTAATTGTAATAACTGTTATTGTACCTACATCAACTCGTAATTAACTCGCTCATCGTGAACAATCAATAAGATATCAAGGAAGTTCTAGACTAGAAAGAAACATTTATATTGCTTGTAAGTTTGTAAATTTTTTTTATATACATCAGTGTTTGTAATAACTATTGGTAATAACTGTTATGCATTGTTCACAAAAACGTTTTTAGCAATATTTAGAGGGCAGATATGGATCAAGATAGCTTTGTGTTAGAGGAGGTAAAACTGTATAGGAATTACCACACATAAATTTCATGTCACCTTCTATTTGTGGAGGCAGGGTTCCTGCACCTATACAGAAATGAAATTTTATGAATTTTCAGTTAGTATTTTGTGTGGGTTAGAAAACAAACTGCACCTGGACATAAGTATTTTCAAATGTAAATCTATACATATACTAATAAATAACATTTTATATGGTGAA